TGCGTTTTCAGTGTTGGATTTTAGGTGTGTGTTTCTGATTTTTTACTCTCTTTTTTATTGAAATATATTTAGTATTACGAATTCAAGACTTGGTGTAAATTTGCAGACCTTCGGTTGCTTTTTTTGTTAGTCAATGCTGTAATATAATTATTTTCAAAGCGTAGCTTAGATGTGACACAAACGCGAAAATATGGGGCACCCAGTGAGGATCGAATTACTACTAAGTCTTAATTGTTCTAGAGAGACAAGCATGCTAACCATTACACCACCTGGAGGTGCCCCTTTTTATAAGGTAACTGTAGCATAACATAAGTCTCTCTCTCTATATATATATATATATGAAAGTGAACATTGAAGTCAACACTTAGGCTGTTTCATGTTAGACGCTAACGTCGAGCCACGAGTGTTTTTTTTTTCTCGGATTTTTACATATATACGGGTCAGTGGTGCATTGTGGGTTGTCTGTTTTGGCGGTTATTTTGCCGGAAATCGTTTATTTATTTATTTATTTGGGTTAATTTATTTTGCTTGTTTTTATTTATTTTTATTTTTGTTTTTATTTCTTATCTTATATACTTATTTATTTTTCTTTTAATTGGTGTTTTATTAACGTAGTAAAAATTTGTTTATATCGCTTATTTAATAGCTTTGTTTTGGTTTGGGAAGATAATTAAAGCTATTTATTCAGTTTTGGGGTTGATTGCTGTAGTTTATCCTAACTATTATTTTGGCGGGAGTAGTTTTTAATTTGTTTATTATTTCATTTATTTATTGAGATTTATTATCTTTACTTTTTTTTCTAACGGTTAATTTATCGGGAACGGTTTGTTAGTTTATTTATTTATCTGGATTAATTTAGATTAATTTATTTTACTTTTTTTTTATTATTTATTATACTGTATATTTTTATTTACTCTTTTCGGTAAGTAACGTAGTTTTTTTGTAGTTATATAACAGTTATGACTATGTTTTTCGTCCGATTTTTGGTTTGATTTTTATAGTCTAACTAATATTTTGGCCATATTGGTTTGTTAATTTGTTTATTATTTACTTTATTTGAGTTAATTGACTTTTTGGGTGGGGATGTTTTATGTATTTATTTTATTCTATTCTAACGCGTGTGATTTGGTAATTTGTTTGGGTTAATTTATTTTAATTATATTATTGTCATTGTTTATTTATTTTCAGTTTTCGATTTTTAAGTAACGTAGTAGAAATCTGTTTTCATGTTTGCATTTTGAGATGAGCTCTGATCCTTTATTTAATAATTTATTTTATTTATCAAGAACCCAACCCATATCCATTCTTCCATCAAGGAAACGGCCTTTACAGTAGAAAAGCACTGCTATCAAATGTTCCACGGGAGGCCATCTTAGAACGTTCTTTGTATTATCTATTTAAACATAAGTAGGACTTTTTTCTTAATAAACAATAAAATCATTAGTGACAGGCCAAGATCTAGACCTCATACTCCTTACGGCACAAATCTAACACGCATCCCTTTTTACATCAGGGAAACTGCTTTCATAGCCGAAACCTGCTGCTACCCGCTGGGCCACAGAGATCCATTGTATTAGAAGATATTTTGTATCACCTATTTAATGTCAGGACTTTTTTCTTCTTCATAAAAGGTAAGTTTAATAACGAACAATCTAGATCGGGAAGTCCTGCTAATGAAAATGTGTAACTCTAGACAGGAATCAAACTTCTAGGCGTTTTTCCATCCGAAGCTTACTGCTACAAGTTGGATCACAAGAAGTCATCCTGCTAGAAGACGCTTTGAACTGCCTATTGAAATGTCTGTAGGATTTTTTTTTCTTTTTATTCTTAAACTAGATTGTGATCTGAACGCATCTTCACGTGTAACGTTTTTGAAATCACTCATTTAAGATGTTTGTTCTCTTAGATCTGTTTTTCTATTTTTTTTCTTTGATTTTTTTTTTTTTTTTTGTATACACATTTCCTTCCGGATCCCAACAATAAGGTCAGAAATGGCTTCATTAAATTTTCCACTGATTAAAAAAAAAAAGAAAAAAAAAAGTAAAAGAAAAAAGAAAAATTAAGGTCCTACAGATTTTACATGGATAAAGCACTTCATAAAGTGATTACAATTTTTGTATTACTTTAAGACATGTCCTATCAGGAATCTCTTCTATAAATCTATCGGACAATTAATCCGAGGATTCCAGTTGGAATTATTGTTGTCATCATGTGACACATTTTTGAGATTACCATTTCAAGATTCTAGGATTTTGATAGTTTTGAAGATATTCAAAGATAATCTGCAGCGTCTACCATGTCAATTTAAAAAAAAAACAAAAAAACATTATGTTATTCTGATTTTTGATCACAAAGTCTGAGCGATTATTATTATTATTATTATTATTATTATTATTATTATTATTATTATTATTATTATTATTATTCCTGTTCAAGTCTATTGTTGAAATTGTTCTTAAAGTGTAATTTTCAATTTTTGATTCATTTAAAAATATTTGACCACAGATAGCTTAATCTATTGTATTTGCAATCTTATGGGACATTTCGATGACTGGTGAATGTTAAAGCATTTCTCTTGCGAACCGACGTTAAAATAAATACCGGAAAAAATTATATTGTAACAAGTGTAAAATTAATTTTCCGCTCAATCTTTAGTTCATAGTAGTTATCCTAACTTAAAGTTAAAACTTAATAGTTAATATTGCACTGACAGATTCCTAAGCTTTATACCAAAATAAATAAAATAAAATTTGAAATTCTTCCCACAACTGGAATCCCACTGCCTTCTCATTGTTTTTAATTTAATTTTATTTTTTTTCTTTTATTTTATCATATTTATTTTCTTATATCCATCTAGACTGGTAGTAAGGAGTCCGGACTCTGATAACGCTTAGTGAGGCTGCTTTGACCACCAGTCATAGAATATAGAGTTTCTTGCAGTGAAAGACGTGCTTGGATACGCTGCCGTGCAAGAACTTCTGATGGGTAACCCTGAGACAACAATATGTTGTAGTCTGCTGTGGTGTGTAACTCAACAATTCAACTGGTGATAGCAGGTAGGCACAAAGAAAACCGGTGTCGCACGTCCAACCTTCTCACGAGCCGAAAGCCTTCTGTTTGAAACAGCAGAAACGAGCCTGCTTTATACAGCTGCGGACCGACCACGATTTGCATGCGAATCACGAGGCAACGAGATTTCACGTTAACTGATCGAGACCACTCGGCATAAAACGCGGGCGCCGCCATTTTGGTTTTCTTTTTTACAGTTGGAAGGACCAGTGTTTACATACTGCGCAGATTCGAACGCGTTTCCGAGGTAGGCCATTTTCACAATTTTCCCCACACTCCCCCCTGATCTCATGATCACAAACAGGGCAGGGGAGGTGGCGATCGTCGCCGTCGAGTCCCTCTCCGAAGGGGGATAACACAAGCTTCATCCTCGTGCGTGTTCTCGTCTGTGGTTTGAGTGTCGGTAAACATTGTGTCCGCCGGGAGGCTGCTGTTATCAGAATCGCTGCCCTGCAGGTCTAACTCAAGGCAGATTGAACGCTCACTACTCCCAGACTCGGAATCGCTTTCATCGCTCGGTAGCGGTAGTGATTGCGTCACCGGTCGCAAGTCTTTAATGTGACGAGGCACCCCATCAACTCTCACAGATTGCGGGCTGATAACCTCCGTAACACGTCCAGTGCCGTACTTTGTCGTACACTTGCCGCGTGGGTTTTTGACCCAAACGATGTCTCCTTTTTTCAATCTCCCTCCAGTCACTTCTAGTTCAGGCAGCGGGTTGGCTTCGATGCCCTTCACGCGGACATGATATTTGTGCAGTGCATCAGCCGGCGCCGTGGATGGTGAAATGTTATCCTTCGGGGCGACATTATACCAGTAAACCGCTTCCGAAACTGTGCAGCCCTTCCTGGCTGCGATGGTCTTGATGGTTCTGTGGTTCCGCTCCACGATGCCGTTTCCACTTGGCGAGTAGGCACATCGAAACCGCAGATGCACGTCCCAAGTGTCCGCAAATTCTTTAAAATCTTTACTGGTGAACGCAGTATCGTTATCCGTCAGTATTTCCATGGGTGGGACTCGCTCCCAGGAAAACATTCTCCAACAGTCGAATGACGGTGCTCGCGTCTTGTCTGCGCAGCGGCCGCCATACCGCGAACCTGGAGGACCGCAATCAATGAGTGTTAAAAATTCTCACCATTGTAGTGAGTTATGTCCATTGCCAGTCTGCTCCAGTTGCTCTTCACGCTCAGTTCTCCTCTTTCCCAGTGAACGGGTGCCGGATCGATCGACTGACAGGTTGTGCAGGCCTTCACAACGGATTTAACGCTTTCTCTGGACACCTGCGGGTCGACTAACCTGGCGAAGTACAGAGTTCGTTTCACGCCCGGATGTCCGCATTGACGATGCGTATTGGCAACCTGGTCCTCATCCAGTCGTCTCCCTGCCACTGCACAGCTCTCGAGTGCCGGTTCTCCTCTCTTGAGCAGTTCTAGCCACCTGTGCGGTACTCTGGTGAGGGGATCTGCACGGTTCTGACAGGACTGCACAAGTGTCACGTCTACGGTCAATCCATATTCGTCCACCAACGATCGCAAAATGCCCAGCCGTCGCCTGACCAGCATCTCACCAGCCGCCCTTGTGTTCACCCGTGCCTTCCCGGTCAAGGTGTCTGAAATCCACCGGTGCACACACGCCGAATCAGTGACCAAGTGCAACGTTGTCGCCTCCCACTGGAGAGCCAGATTCACTCCTTTAAGCGCCGCATCGAGTTCAGCCAAATTAATGTGCCTGGCATCATTAGTCGGACGCAGCCAGCACGCATCTTCGATGACATTTCCGTTTACTTCCAATGCCACTCCTGTCGCCACGGAACTCGCATCCACCCAGACTGTGATCTCGTCACCACTCATGCACCAGTCTCGTCCGACGGGATCCAGTTCCCGCACTCTACTTAACATCTCTGCTAGTATGCGACAGAGAGAGGATCTTTGATGTTATCATCCCATCCATTGGTTGCTGCGGTTGCCAGGCGCTTGACGAATGCAACTGCCACCCTGAGCCATCCACACACTGGGAAGTGTCCAACAAGTTTCCCACACAACGAAAATACGCGCCGCCGGGTCAACACATCAGGGCTTCCGAATTTGACTTCCTCGTTTCCATCGGAGGGTGCCATTTTCTTCCCAGACCTGCAAGCCAAGAACTCTTGCTCCATCTCTCAGTCGCACCGGATCCTTGCACACCAAACCGTAATCCGAAAAGTGTTGTCTTACACGCGATGCAGAGGCCAAACTTTCATTAATGAAGATATCATCAACGTATGCTGATGTGGCACTTTCAATTGTGCGGTCTTGCGATGCGATGGCGTCTATAACGGATTTCATGATGAGTGGCGCTACATTTAGTCCAAATCCTAGCCGCGTAAGACAGAAGCGTTGGCCTTTGAAAATAACCGTTTGAAATGGCCACAGCGCTTCGTCGATGTGAATCTGAAGATATGCGTTCCGCAGATCCAGAAGCGACACATTGACTCCCTGCCGCCGCCACGTTCTCAACTTATGTGCGCACACTTCTGCATCGGCAGTGAAAGCATCCACAAAGTCGTTCAATTCGCGGTAATCGAGTACCGGACGCACCTTCTGTTTCTGCTCCTGCACGACTGCCATCAAAGGAATCAGACCCTTTGGGGGTCCCAGTCTTTCCTGGGGTACGGAATCAGCCAGCCGTTCACAATCCACTGCTGAAGCTCTTTCTCGTATTTTCCTCTGATGCTGTCTGGAACTTTGTACTCAGCGACCTTGTTGCGAAGCTGAACTGGCGGGTCTTTTTGGGCCCATTTCCACCTGGCGGTCCACACTCTCTCGTCGGAATTGAAGGAGACGTCGAAATCCGGCTCACTAACGCAAAGGGCTGCACACACCTTTCTTCTTTCACCCAGTTCCACATTTCCGGCTGGCGTGATCATCATGCCTCCTAACGCTCGGATCGCATCAATCCCAAGTAGCAGGTCGTACCCGAGGGGCCTTTGACGTGCCACCAAGACGTCGACTTTGGCATGACTCCCTCCGTCTGTTAGGACTGACAGTCCCGACACCACAACAGGCCCGGGACACCCCGTCAATCGTCCGAATCTAGATTTGTTGACTGTTCCATGTCACGCATCGATCCGCACTAACGATCGATCGGGAACATCCAGTGTCAACGAGCGCCGAACATCGTTTACCCTCAACGTACACGTTGATAACAGGCAATGCCGCATTTACTGACCGAGAGGGGGCAAGGGTTGCGACAGCACCTTGTCCCCGGACTCATTCCCGAGCAATCCTGTGCTACATGGCCTAACTCTTTGCAGCGATAGCAGCGTAGTCGTGCACGGTTCCGCCTGCCGCTCCCTCCTACGTCACTTCGGCTCCGGCAGTCCCTAGAGAAATGGTTGGGTCCACCGCACTTGTAGCACTTTGGGCCCTCCTCGGTGTCTCAGGCGTTCTCACGGCTGCCGCGATCTGTTCCGTGTCCTTCAAGATGTTTCGGGCCCTGGCTAGCAATTCGTCAATTCCCAGTGTGTCCAATCTTGAAGACGCTCGCAGGAGCCGACTGGTGTCGTCTGGAAGCCCTGCCAGGAAGGCGCACGCCAGTATGCGGTCCGTTGCTCCGCCAAACGGTACTGCCAGCCTTCGCAAATCAGCCAGGTAAACATCCACGGTCTCACCCGGCTCGAGCCGTCGTCCGACGAACTGTTTCCAAGCGATGAATGGATCTATTCCAAAGGCCGTATACAGGGCGTCCTTGATCTCTTCTAGGTCAGCATCGTCCCCGAGTTGTTGATATACTGCGTAGGCTCCTCCCGTGAGTCTCAGTGGGATGACTAGTGCAGGTTCCTTTATTTTGGACACCCTGCAAACACGTTCGGCCTTTTCAAACCATTCGACGATAGTCGGGCCCCGTGGGGAGCCGTCGAATTCTGGGATCAACTTTAGATCGAACTTGTCCATTGCCGAAATAGCTTGTGGTGTGTAACTCAACAATTCAACTGGTGATAGCAGGTAGGCACAAAGAAAACCGGTGTCGCACGTCCAACCTTCTCACGAGCCGAAAGCCTTCTGTTTGAAACAGCAGAAACGAGCCTGCTTTATACAGCTGCGGACCGACCACGATTTGCATGCGAATCACGAGGCAACGAGATTTCACGTTAACTGATCGAGACCACTCGGCATAAAACGCGGGCGCCGCCATTTTGGTTTTCTTTTTTACAGTTGGAAGGACCAGTGTTTACATACTGCGCAGATTCGAACGCGTTTCCGAGGTAGGCCATTTTCACAATTTTCCCCACATCTGCACTATCTTCCCGTCGTTTTTGTTACCTTAGACCCTTTGTAGCTTGGCCACATTGATGAAAAAAATTCAATAAGAGTATAGAAATTCTCCTATCGTCCTGTTCAAACTATTCTCATATATATATATATATATATATATATATATATATCTATATATATATATATATAGATAGATAGATTGTTTGTGTATGTGTGTGTGTATTTTGGAAGCAAGTTTCATTGAATAGTTTAGACAAGTTTTGTCTGTTTGTTTTCAACAAGATCAGTTTATATTCCCGGATAACCTTTCTGGTGTCGGTATTAAAAGAAGAGGGAAAATTACCGTGTTGATACATATTGTTTTATTCCGAGTACTTTCGACATTAACATAATGTCATCTTCACGGTGTGTTTTTAAGAAAAATAATATCAGATGAACATAGTAAATTTGTCTTTGGAATAATGAACACTACATTTTTTCCTTATACAAAACCTGAGGATGACATTATGTTAATATCGAAAATAATCAGAATAAAACAATATATATCAACACGGTAAATTCCTTTACGTATTTTCATCTATGAATATTAAAAATATGTTTTACTCTAAGATTTGCCAGTTTTAAACACTTTATATTAGAAAATAAAACTCAGCTGAACAAACTAAAAATATGTTTTTTCTTCTTGTAGACGCGATGATTGTAAGCTTTTCAATGGAACCCCAAAGCGATTGCTGATTAACCTGATTCGCTAAGAACCTTGGTTAACATGTTAATGTAATTATTTTATTACGAATTATTCCCTTCATTCAGAAGCAACTGATTATTATTAAAACGCGCTGTCTTAGATATCAGTGATTTAAAAACACAGGCTGCCGGCGAAATTATTTGGGTGGGTTTTCTTAGAAATATAAATACTCTTCTAATAAGTCTATCATTCTGTTGCTAATTACTATCATTATTATATTGAATTATTGTTTACATAAAATTCTTCCAAGAAATAGGAATCAAGATGAACCTTCCAAAAACAGGAACTATGATCTGGAATTGAAATAAAAGCAGTAATGGCACATACCCTGAATCCATCATAAAAAAATTGAGGATGTGCAATTAGTAAATACGAAATATTTCAAATATTACAAATTTCTCGGATTATGGATCATTTATAACAGATATAGTATAGAAGATAAAGAAACTGAACATACAATATGCTGCTCCAGGGATAGCTTATCTCAACACGGGAAATTTTTACAAAATCAAAACATCAACATGGAAACTCGAGTCATATTCGTAAATTATTTCCTCAGATCGAAACACATATGGACGTCAAGCATGGCGCCAACCCCTTACTGTAAACTGTCAGTTGTATACAACCGCTTTTTAAGAACAATTGTTAAAAAGGCTTTGGCCGAGTGAAGCCTGATGATCCTGACAAAGATAATCCTTCTATGAAAATTTTGGACTGACGCTTCATAATCACATAGAACTGGACCAAATAACAGACACTGCATCACTTGCAGACTACCAACAGCAGCAACAACCAAAATGGATTGCACATGTTACTTGAAAGGAAAATAATGACATAATTAAGATGCTGAAATTCCACACTACTTCATATAAAAAGTTAGGAAGAAAACCTCAACACTCCTGGTAAGAGCAACAACAGTTCCTTGACTTGAAAAAAAACTATTTCCCTGAAAAAAATGTTTTAAGAGAAAGATTATACAAATTTCAACTTAGTCATTACTGACTGCTCGGTCGATTAATGCTAAATGTTTTCTTATAGGGAAGCGGCTAATATTACCATTACTAATGATATCACAAGTGGATATACTCCATTCTATCAATTCAATTCATGTGCTAATTTTCTGTCGTTGAAGATTAAACCTATCGACTCTCCACGTTAACTGTTGCTACTGTGGTTTTTGTAGCAAAGAAGTTTTCATGGGTAAATCGGAGTTGAATTTATAGTTGACCTTCTTATAGACTGTTTGCAAACCAAAGCTATTAACCCCTAACTGGTTGGCTAGAGCGAAAAAAAGAGATAAATTAATCTTACCAAGCGTATTTGCACGAAACAGCACCGGCTGGAATTTGAACGCGAGACACCAATTCCACACGTCTATGTCAGTAAACGTTACATTACACGTACATCCCATCATTTTTCCCCTCAGTAAGTTGCCATTTTATCCATTACACCAACCTGCACATACGCGCTTATCCCATCATTTTTTCCCTCAGTAGGTTGATATTTCTTTCTGCAGTAGAGCAGTTGCTATCCAAGGCTATAGAACCCGGTCTGTTCTGCTATTTACCCATAGTTGGGGGGAGAAGAGGATTAACCCCGTTCCTAATGGTATTAGCCCGTAAGTGAATGTAATGGATTCAACTGGAATTCGAACTCGGCTCTCCGATTCCTCAAACCGTGCCGCTATCCATTACTTCACCGTGCCCCCCCTCCCTAAGTAAGTTTCTTGTTAATTCACCTCTCCAAGTTCTACACTGCCTTAACTAGGTATTGAACTCACAATTCTTTGGGTCGTGTCACTGGATCTAACCAACGCCTTTATCCACTAGTACATAAGCGGTTACTGAGTGTGAGAGAATAAGAGAAGAAAAAAAAGGCATTATTAAGGAGAGAGAACAATAAAAAAAAAAAAACAGGAAATAAGAAGACAAAAGATAGCGATTGACGTTGCATTTACATTTTGGAAGATCAAAGTTGACTGGAAAGCAAAAAGCCGGTAGAGAGTTTTTCAAGCGCGAAGAGCGAGAGAAGAAACTGCTTACATAGAACTTACGGTTACATCTAGCCATTTCAACAGTAAAATGATGAGAAGCTTACCAATCTAATACTGCGCTTAAACTCATAAAGTTGAGGTGTCATAGAGGAAATTTCAACTCGATATAATGTACTATTTCTTTTCTAATCATATGAAAATGATTTTTGTAATTATATGTAAATAAATAATTTGATAAGGGTTTACACTGTAACTTAACCAAAATCAAACAATCAAAATTTAATTCTACTAATTCCTAAGCAGCTGGTATATTGAACTTAATGTTTTGTTTTTTTAGGCCTACTCACAGTCAATTATTTTTTCTTCTTCTAAAGTGTAAAAGGGAAATAAAAAAAAAAGATGACTTAGTTTTACACAAGCTAATGTCACTTATGAGATAATAACTTTGTAGCTCTTTGTCTGTTTAATATCTTTCCCAATCTTTGTTTATTCATGCATTTGCGCAAGGTCTTACTCGCTTTTGCCTCTTTCCCTGCTGCTTTCATAGGCTTACGGCCATATCACGTTGAACTACCGATTCCTATACGACCTCTAACGTTAAGCACTTTCGAAACTGATCAGTCTATAGATGGGTGATCACTTAGGAATTTCAGGGTCTGTAAGCTTTTATGTGTAGGTTGGTGTAATGGATAATGGCTCGGAATTGTTAATCGGAGTGCCAAATAACAATTCCAGTTAGTTTATTTATATTTACTTTCTCGCAACTACTCTTGGGAAAGATAGGGATCTATTTCTTCTCCCCTACCTATGGGGTAATAAGTAAGATCAGTCAGTTATGTGCCATGCATGATACACGTTAGGCGATCACGTATCTTTCGATACATTACTGACGAGGCAATTTTTTCCCTCAGTAGGTAGCCATTTCT